AGAGAAAACTCTTTCTTAACTGAGGGTGACTCTAACCTTACACATACGGGAGAGTGGAGATGGCTGAGAATAGTCCTGCCTCACTGGAGGAACTGCTCAACCAGTTAATGGATCAAAGGCTCCAGGGAACAGTCAAAACCATGGGCCACCTTCTTAGCCCTACCCTGTAGGCCCAGAAGCTGAGAAATAAAATCCTTTCTGTTCTCTAAGAAAGGAGATTTCAGTGTCAGCCTCATAGGTCACCTGTCTATACAGAAACAGATCTGGCTCTCCTTAGCTGTCACATGCCATGCATGGCTGTGGCCTCCAGCACCTGAGTCATCTGTGACTCATCACCCTCTGACCTCAGTCTGAAAAAGGCTAGGCTGAGCGGACTTGGCTCTGGGATGGGATGAGGCCTGGTACAAGCCTGTTCCTCCCCCCTCTACCCCACACTGACACATAGGAATATTCAAATACCTTGGATAGGATACCCCACATTTCCCCACATTTGTGAACACAAATCTATGCAGAGGACACAGAGAGGCTGAACTGGACCCCCAGCCCATGCCCAACCACACATACATACACACGCTCTCCCTCACGGTGCCTCCCCACTCACATGTGTGCTGGGTGGCCTCATATCCCCCAGGGTCTCCATGAGCCCAGAGCACCTGTCTGAGATTTAGGCTCTGCTGTTAATTCCCTGCATATGCCACACAATATCCACCCCCTTTTCGCTCTCTAGGCCTCTGTTTCCTCCTCTGATCAAGACTCACAAGTCTATAAGATCATGTTTAGCCCTTAATCTAAGGAGGAACATTAATAAGGTGATTATAATTTCTGGTCAATGAATGAAGGGAGGTAGGAGTGTAATGAGGGGTGCAGTGGAACAGAAGTAGAAAGGAAGACCTGGTACCTTTCAGACCACACCACCCCTCTGGCTATAAGCAAACAATACAAATAGGGGATGATAATGTCCTGAAAGACCCAAAACCAGTAGATTGTGCCTCCACAGTCCTACTGAAGCCCTTGGTTTTTTACAGAAAAGACAAGAATGTGAACTTGCACAGGGCTCCTCCCTAGCTTAAAGTCCCTGAAGACAGGCTGTCTCCCTCACATAGGGGGTCCCTGAAGATAGGGCTATGTCTCCCCTTAGCCTGGGGCTCCCCAAGAACAGGGCTGTGTCTCTCCCTCAGCCGGGGACCCCGAGGACAGGGCCATTCTTTTACTCAGATTTTCTCGCTGCTCAAGACCTTTTAATCACACATCTTCCCCTCTCTTGAGTAGCATTACCCAAACCCAGGGCCAGTTCCCCTTTCAGCCTATATTTCCCTCTGCAACATGGACCCCAGGATGACAGCACCCACAGACAGAAATGCACTTATTGATGAAATAATCTGAATAGCAATCACTACAAGTCTTTCCCATCTTTTGCCTGTTTTATCCTCAAATAATCCTGTGGTAGTATGGGTTACACCTGGATCTCATTCCTTAGCAGAAAGACAGGGAGGGCAACGTGGTCCAGAAATCAGAGATTTGGCAGACATCACACAGCTGAGGGTCATCAGCCTCTTTTCCATCCTTTTCCACCTACCCGGACCCCAGATTGCCTACCCCACCTCCCAGAAAGGGGTTAAATAGCCTCAGGAATGCCAGGATTGAGGGCAATTGGGAAAGCTAGGAGGGAGCCGTTGTTCCTCCACTTGGCTGGAGCTTCGGTTTCCCAATCCAGTATTATTTCTGTGGGGCAGAACCCAGCCGGAGGCAGCTGGGCTAACTGAACAGCCCCAGGCTGTGGATCCCAGATCCTCCTCTCCCTCCAGTTGGTGTGGCCCAGGGAGCCACGCTAGCTCCTGGGGGCTCTCAGCTGGGAAGGATCTTGTGGGGAGATGGAGGAAGAAGACAGGTTGCTGCTTAGAAGAGCAAAAGGAGCCCAGCCCAATGCATGGGCTGTTCGCGGGCCTGTCATTCATGGCATGAAGCAGCAGCAGAAGCCCCTTCAGGGTGTCCAGTTGTCTTTGTAACCCTCCTGTCACAGCTTCTAAGATGTTGTCTTCCTTACTTTTTATTTTACTATAACACATGTGAAAGATACATGCTAAATTATAACTCAGAATACATACACATACACACTCCCGACAAGTTTCAAAAAATGATACTTACCCTTACAGTGTAAGGCTATTTGAATATTTTCTACTTTATTCTCCTCTTTTTTTTTTCTTTTTTTTTGAGACAGAGTCTTTCTTGCTCTGTCACCCTGGTTAGAGTGCAGTGGATCATAAGAGCTCACTGCAACCTCATCTCCTGGACTCAAGCAATCCTCCTGCCTCAGCCTCCTAGGTAGCTAGGACTATGGGCACCTGCTATAAGGCCCAGCTAATTTTTTTCCTTCCTTCCTTCCTTCCTTCTTTCCTTCCTTCCTTCCTTCCTTCCTTCCTTTCTTTCTTTCTTTCCTTCGTTCTTTCAGAGATGAGTTAGTGCTTTTGCTCAGACTGGTTTTGAACTCCTGACCTCAAGCATCCTCCCACCTTGACCCCCCAGAGTCCCGGGCCCCTATCATCCTCCACATTTAAGAAAAAGATTGATGCTGGTTGCAAACTGCTAAACTGACTTCATGACCCACTGATACATATAGATCACAACTTGCAATTCGAAAAACACTCCAATCTCAGCAGGCTGATATATTGCCATTGTACAGATGGGGTCACTGAGGCCTAGAAAGGAAGCAGGTTACAGGGCTGGTCAGTAACAGAGACCAAGCCAGAGCACAGGGATTTTGGCTGCTAGGGAAGTATTTTCACTGTAAGTTTCCAGAGCCTGAGGGACTTCTTGCAATAGCCGTCTGCAGAACAAGAGCTGAGGGCGAGAATCACCACTGATGGGTCATCAGGAAAGGTGAGATGGATGTTTGTTGGCCAACAGGCTCCCCTAGGGCTTCCACAGGTCACTGCAGTAAAAGTCATGTTACGACTACAGAAAAGGTCTGCCTAAAGGGTCAGCATCCAGGTCCTCCAGAGTATAATGGACAAACTCAGTCCAAGGGAGCCTCCCAGCATGAGTCGGGGAGAGCCTATGGATCTCTGCAGCAGGCTGAAATTGAGGACATATCCAGAACAGGCAGGGCCTGTATGCCACATCCACATAGGATCCAGTGACAAGAGTGGGGACAAAAGAGGGGTGGGCAGCATGAAAGCACCTGAGAATTCGCCAGTCCAGCTCCAGGCAGGGTTGCCAGATAAGTACAGGATACTCAGCTGAATGTGAGCATTTCAGATAAACGATGAAAATTTAACTGGTCACCCTGTATTTTTATTTGCTGTATCTAGCAACCCAGTAGGCCTGCGACCCACTTAGGACAAACAGACAGCAGGAGAAACCCAGGTCAGACCTGAGGAAGCGCTTCCTGCCCAGGTGCCTGGTCTCAATCCAGTGTGGATGGGGCAGAAATGAGGGTATCTGGGACCCCTCCAGCCCCAAGTAGGCAGTCCTTGGACCACAGATACCCCTAGGTCAAGTAGCTGCCCCTGACCCTCTGACCCCTCAGGGAGGGAGAAAGTGTCAGCTGGGCTGGAAAGGGGAGAGGTAGCCTTTGAAATTGGCATGTCATGGTGGGAGGGGGAACAGATGGCATCCTTTGCCCCTTCTCAGCAACCACACCAGGCTCTTTGAGATAAGCCAGTCTTCAGGGAAACTTCCTGTTAGGCAAACACCAACAGCTGGCACACCACTGGCATCTGGGGGCTGGGGGCTGGGAGAGGGGCAGTTTCTCTGAAATCTTGGGGTCTAGGGGAGGATTTTACCAGCATGGAGCCAAGCTCTTCCCCACACCCCCCATCTCTTCTGCTCTCATTCCTCCCTGAACCCTCCCCCCGCCACTCCTCACATAAACACACCACTTTGGGGTTTTTAGTGAAACTGCCAGAGTCAGGCAGTGCCAAGGGACTGACTGGGGTGACCACAGCCAGAAGGAAAGGGGATGAGACCTGCTGGCTTTAATAAGAAGGCATTCCCTGAGCTCTCACAGCCTTTGTGGGCAAAATGTCCCCTTCCCTGGTCCCAGTAAGGGGTGTTAAGTGCTAGAACTGGACTAGGGGAGGGGGCACAGACCAATGTTAGGGATGCAACTAGGAGCCAAGCCTGGGGCCACATCCTGGTAGGGACTAATTATAGGGCTGGGACTCTGTGCCCTAGCCTTGCCTGTACCTCATTACTGAGAGAAAAGTCATTTCCAGTTTTCCTTGTGAGTTTCTACATTGGCTGTTGCCACACAAAGGGAATAACCATCTAAAATGCTGAGCTTTTTGTGGTGGGGTGGCAGCAGAGTCTGTAGATCAGCCCCAAGGAAACAAGTCCAAAGTTTTACCCTCATCTTCAGGGAGCACACAGGCTAATAAGAGAGAATCTGAGCCTGGCCTTGGGGACTCTGTCAGAGTGAGGTGACTAACGTGCATTCGTTTACTCAGCAGTAGTATATTTATGTAGCCCCTCTTAAGTGGCAATCGCTTTATGTTCATTATTTAACTTAATCCACATCAACACCTGAGAGAAAAGTGTTTCCATGCCCATACTGCAGAGCAAAACAAGGAGGCTCAGAAAGGGTGAACAACTTGCCCAAGGTCACAGAGCCAGAAAACTCTACTGATGCCAAAAGTAGAGCTCAGCTCTGTCCATTTGCCAATCCTCTCTTTCCACCACCCTGTGCCCAGTCACAAGGACAACAGCCAACCTTTAATGGGCCCTTCCAGCCTGTCAGTCACCATCCTAGGCCCACATTTCCCTGAACATCAGTGTTCTCATCTCTAGAACTGGGATACTACTGCCTACATCTGATATTGAAAGGATGATGTGATTTTATGTACACAAAACATTCTGAAATGGATACCATGGTGCATGTTTTACAGATAACAACTGAGATTCAGAAACGTAATTTTGTCCTAAGACATAATTTAGAAGTTGTCAAGGTTGAGGCTGTCTTTTGGGTTGGGTTTTGGACCTCAGGGCTTAGAATTAGCAGCCAGGTGCTCACTTTGGCAGCACATATACTAAAATTGGAACAATACAGAGATTCACAGGGTCCCTGTGCCAGGATGACACACGAATTTGTGAAGCATTCCATATTAAAAAAAAAAAAAAATTAGCAGCCGGATTTGAACCTAGGCAGTCAGGCTGGACCAGGCCAGAAGTGACCCAGTGTTATAAATTCTGGGCGGCCAGATAGAAAGTTATTAATAGCCATGAGGTGTTTATTGCTGAACAGTCACCAGCTCCCAGAGGGCAGCCTGGGGTCACAGAGCTGCAGCTAGGTCAGCCCCCTACCCCCCGGCCCCATGGGGGCTGGTCCTGAGAAGCTTACTCTCCCAGCTGGGCCTCACCCTGCCCCTGGGAATACTTACCCAACCAGGCAGCTGCCCCGTGACTAGGAACGGTGACCCCTGTCACACTTGTGTGTGTGCAAGCCCATGTGGATGTGCTCGTGCGGAAGAGACTCTGTAACAACCAGGCGAACTGCTCCAGGAAAGAGTATGCCTCAGGATGGTGTGTGCTGGAGACAGGCCTTCCCCCACAACTCCTAGCCTCAAGCCTCACCATCCTCTCTCTTTCTCAAGCTGGCAGCTGGGAGGGGAACCCCTGGGGATGAAATAGGTGAGCCCATTAATAGGGTGGGAGATGCCTCTAGAAGCCAAAAGCAAAGAGATAAGCAAACACTCATCCTGAATATTTCCCTGGAAGACATCTTCCTGCTGCTTCACCAGGAGATTGCAGACCCCAGCTCTCAAAGTCCCAGAGAAAGTCTTCTTCTCCCCGGCCCTAGTCCCAGAAGCTCTTCCTCATACTCATACGGCAAACCTTTTCACTCAAAGATCCCGGAACAAGCATCCTGAGGGAGCTTCTGAGGATAGCCCTAGGGGCCTCCACAGTAAGCCTCTCAAATGAAAGCTGGGCCAGGCCCCAAAATGCTTTGCCCAGAACACGGCTGGGTGCATAAGGGTGGACAGAAGGCCTCCTCCACCAGACCGGAGACTCCTAGTGTACTGGAGGGAATGTAAGAGAAGATTGGCCTTGTGCTCTGGTCCTGTTCATTTGCTCATTAATTCCACAAATACATGTCAAGCAAGTCCACCTTGTGCCTGTCCTTGGGCTCAGAGCTGTGGGGCATCACCTCCTACCAAGACAGCCCTCTCCACACCATCCTTTCTCTTCAGTCCACCACCTTTATCTCACTCCTGGGTTCCAGGACTAAACCAGCTCTGGTTTGCCTCACCCCTCAACAGGAGTGTAAGGATGTATACTTGCAAACATGAGTATAAAAGCTAGACAGAGTAGTTCAGGTTTTTTTTAAGGGAGAAAAAGAAACACAGCCAAAATGTACTAAAGGGGAAGCTCAGAGAGAAAAAGGCCTTGATGAAAATACTGGAATAACAACATGATTATAATGTCTGTTCTGACCCTGCATACCTGTCACTGCATGAGGTACTTTCACATGATGATGACATCACTTCATATCCTCAAATGCCACCATGTAGCTATTATTGTGCCCATTTGAGAGATGATAAGGCTGAGGCCCAGGGAAGTAATCTGTCCAGTGGTAAAACCAAAAATCCAACCTAGACCTACCAGAAGTCTTGGTGGGTCTTAGGGCAGCCCAGATAGGGCTCTGCAGAGGCCCCAGGCAGAGACTCTAAGGAGAGGGACTTATAGGATGGTCTCACAGGCCCTCGCTGGACCAGTTACAAACAGGGAGTGGGAGCATAGTTTTCCTGCAGGAAGTCTGAGGAGGTGACAAATGAGGTTCTTAGCCCTCTCCAGCAGAGGGGGCAGGAGGAGCCCCTGGAAAAGGGCACATGTTGGCTGGCATCTATCCCACTTGGAGCAAGAACCAGGGACCATCAAGGGTGTGTGGAGAAACATCATGCACGGTTCCTGACAAATGAAGAACCCCTTTGGGACTATGAATGCATATGGGGAGCAGAGGGAAGGATGGGGTCAGAAGCCCCGAAAGGGCTCGTCTGGCACCAATATCTGGCAACTGGTTTCCCAAGTCTGGTTTCCATCTAATCGACAAAGAAATGTCTGATGGAGGGGGTTCTGTCTCTTTCTTCAGACTAGAAACTCTGTGAGGACAGGGAGCATCCTAAGGGCAGGGGCCATCTCATCCCTGAGACTAGGAGCTCCCAGAGGGCAGTCCTTATATTTCCCTCATGAGGAAAATAATTCCCCAAAGGCACATGCACAAGCTAGCCTTTGAACATCTTCTTTAGCTCCCAGCCCTCTCTTATTCTGGGGATGGGATCTAAAATTAGTCCCTACCAGGATGAGTGCCCAGCCTTGCTTCCACAGGCCCCTGAGCCTGACAAGCCCCTTCCTTTAAATTGCTGTTCCCTCATTTCTAGCTCTTCCCCCTTCCAAGTCACCCCTTCAGTCCTCTCCTCAGCAGATGTTTGGCCAAGCCCAGTCTTTGCCTTGTATTTTCCTTTTCCAGGCAGATTATAAATATTTACTGATTCCTTCCCTGCCTTCCTCCGTTCCCCATGTCCTGATGGATAATGTCCCATGAATGTAGCTGAACTGTCTTTCTTTCAGCAATTCTGAAGCTAACCTGGTGGGGCTTTCCAAGGATCATCTTGCCCATCCCCCATCAGTAGGCTGGTTTATGATAAAGCCACTCCTAGTAAATGAGAGATCATCCTATGCCAGGGCAGAGCACACATGGCTGGTCTTCAGTAAGTGCTGGGGATGAAAGGGGGAGGAAGAAAAGGATTCCACACTTTTCCTCCAAATCCCTTGTGCTTCTCTCTCTGCCAGGTCTTCTAATCCTCCATCCTCTCTTCCTCAAACTGTAGATGTTGCTCACTTTTTCTTGGTGACCTCAGTATAATTGAGTCTCTCTCTCTACTCTAGAAATCAAGATGCTGCTTTGTCTGGTCTGAATCAGCCTTTGCCCCAAGTCTTCCCACCAAACTTACAAGAGTAGACCTCCAGTCTGATTCTCTTATAAACATGCCCTCTCTTCCTTCTTTAAACCTCCCTCCACTCTCTCAGACCTTCGCACATTACAATAAAACCTTGTGGATGGGAAGTGACTATTTAGTTGGATGGTTTAGTGATCACCATTTAACAACCTCCCCAAAACTTAGCAGCTTTATTTTTTATTTATTTATTTTTTTTTTTTTTGAGACAGAGCCTCAAGCTGTCCCCCTGGGCAGAGTGCCATGGCATTACAGCTCACAGCAACCTCCAACTCCTGGGCTCACGCGAGTCTCCTGCCTCCGCCTCCCAAGTAGCTGGGACCACAGGCGCCCGCCACAACGCCCAGCTATTTTTTGGTTGCAGCCGTCGTTGTTTTGGCGGGTCCGGGCTGGGGATTCGAACCCGCCACCTTAGGTGTACGTGGCTGGCGCCTTAGCCGGTTGAGCTATAGGCGCCGAGCCACTTAGCAGCTTTAAATAGCAACAGCCCATACGTTTGCTTATAACTCAGTAAATCTGGACATAGGATGGCTTCTCTCTACTTTATGGGTTATTGGCCACAGTGGCTCAAATGGCACTGAAGAATCCAAAATGACCTCACTCATAATTGGTCCCTCAGCTTGAGGTAGTTCAAACAGCTGGGGACTGACTGAACCCCTCTTTATCCCTCCCTGTCTCCCTTCTCCTCTCTCTCCCTCCATGGCCTCTCTCCAGCAGGGTAGTTGGACTTCCTTACAGCATGGCAGCTGCTGTCCTCCAAGAGGACAAAAATGGAACTTACAATCCCTCTTAAGTACTACCCCTAAAATTTCCAGAATATCTCTTTGGCCACACTCTTAGGCAAAGCTGGTCAAACGCCAGCCTAAATTCAAAAGTAGGAAACATAAATTCTACTTCTTGTTGGGAGGAACAGCATGTGGGCACAGGGATGGGAAGAACTATTGGCATCTCTATTTGCACACTGTCCACCACAATGATCCTAACATAAGAAACTGATCAGAATTACCAAGTCCATGCAGAAGGTGTTGAAGGGAGAACAGTAAACTGGCAGTTTCCCTGGAGAAGCAAGAACTTAAAGGCATTTGAGGGCTCTGACCAAAGTTGGTAGCTCTTTTGGGAGAAAGGAAAGGGTCTCAAGCAAGGCAGAACTTCAGACAATGGCCATGTCACAGGGTGTGACTCCCAGACAAGGGTGTGAGTCCCACAGAGGGAAGGCAGGGTAGGTCTTAATTAGGCCTTCTCTGGGCCTTAAGAGATCCTTGGGAAAGGCTCTGGGGGGGGGGGGGGGGCAGGGGTGGTGTCTGATTAGGTCTTATACAATTGGGGGATGTGGCATTTTCATTTTCTCTTATTTTCTCCATGGTCTATTTCAAGACTGTTTCTCTCATCCAAGCCTATGTGTTGCAATCTCTTGCATGCTTAGGTTTCGGATCTTCCACTGACAAGCCCCAGCCCCTGGAGACATCTCTTGCCTTGCCTTGCCTTACCACACTTGGGGAAGTCTGGATTTTGGCCCTGGGTTTGGCCACCATTATATCCTCCCCCGTCCCACTTTTCTTCTCCCTGTTTGTATTCAGTCTAGACTGATTCATTTTTATTTGTTGATGTCCTGCCCTAGCCTGGGGCAGCTGTGGTGTGATGGAAAGAGCACCAGATTCAGAGTCAGAAAAGCTGGTTTAAATTCTGGCTTGGCCATTTACTGGCTGTGCGTAAATTTGGGCAAGTTATTTACCCTCTCTGAGCCTCCTGCTTCTCATGTGTCAAGCAAGAATAATAAGTCCCGTCTCCAGGGTGGCTAAAAGGAGGAAACAATACTGTCACTGATGAAAAGGCCTCTGCTCCTAATCCCTACGGGTTGATTCTGAGTTTATCTCTCTTAGTTAAGCCCTGCTCAAGTCCCTACTTGTGCAGCAAGCTCTCCACCAATCACTCCTGACATCTTTGTAGAAACCCCATGCCTATATCCATGGTCTTGGGAAAAAGCTCTCTGTCTCCAGACCTATTTTAACATCAGTCATTTAACAAATGACTATTGGGCACATCTCCTAGCAGCTGGAGATGCAATGAACAAAACAGACAAAAATCTCTGCCTTCATGGAGTTTGCATTCTGGTCCAAGGAGACAGAAAAAAAAGGAAGTAAATTTTAGAGTGACACTGTCCAAAATGGTACCCAGTAGTCATGTGTATATAGTGAGCACTAGAAATATGGCTGCAAGCAATTGAGATATGTGACAAGTCTAAGGTACACCAAGATTCAAATTAATAATTTTATATTGATTAGATGTTGAAATGATATCTTAGAGATGTTAGGGTAAATAAAATATGTTATTAGAGTAATTTCTCTCTTTTTACCTTTTGAAATGACTCCTAGAAAATTTTAAATTACATACGTGGCTCACTTTGTATTTCCTTTAGACAGTGCTATTCTAGAGTTTATTTGGAGGTGATAGGCACTACAGGAAAAAAGAAGAGATCATGAAAAAGAGGAGCCTAAAGATGGAGTGGGAAGGTGGAGGGTCCATTGTAAATACAGTGGTTAAGGTAAAGCTCACTGAGAAAGGAACAGACTTGAAAGTGAGGGAGCCAGCCACACTTCTGTGTGGAAGCATGCACCAGGAAGAGAAGACAGCCTGTGCAAAGGCCCTGGGGCAGGAGCATGTCTACTGCATTTGAGGAACAGGGAACCCAATGATCAAGGTAGGGGTGGTGGTGTCATAAGTTAGTGAGTATTTAGGGAGGGTGGTGCAGGCCTTTTAAGGCCATTTGACTTTTTCGCTGAGTAAAAAAGTCTCTGGAAGGTTTTAAGCCAAAAGGTGTCGTGATTTGGCTCACATTTTAACATGCTTACACCCTGGAGCTATGTGAGAGTCAACCAAAAGTGAGGCCAGAGGAGATTCCAGGAGGCCAGTTTAGAGGCTCTGGCAAAAATCCAGATGGGATGACAAGAGCACCCACCTCCCAGGGCTGTTGTGTGGATTAAGTGATTGGGAAAGGAGCATTTACTAGATCAAAAGCTCCTTGAGGGCAAAGACCTTGCCTTGAGTCCCTCAGCATGATAGAGACCAAAGTGCCTGCACTGCCAGTCGCCTAAGGTGTCTTCCCACCCTCAGGGCATCTCCCCTTGAAGACTGCAGTAGCTTTCTACTGGCCTCTCTGCCTCCCACACTGCTGCCAGGCACCCATGGAAAAGCGTGCCTGACTGGGCCACTCCCTGTTTAAAGCCGCTCATCCCTGACAAGTCTTAGGCTCTTGGCACAGAGCTGGAGACTCCCTTAAGCTAACCTCTGACTATCTCTCCAACCTCACCCCCTCACACTATCCCTTCTGCCTGGGGTGCCCCAACCTCCCCACCCTTTCCCCACCCTATTCAGTCTATCTTCTACCCATCATTTGAGGGGCAGCCTGGATGCCAAAATGTCATGGCAAGATCTCTCCCTGTAGCCACCACCCCCAATACAATCCACCCGCCAGCTACATCAGATGCCCCAGCACATTTCATGTACTTTTCTATTCGTGGATTCATAGTTCTGTGTCTCCCCACCCACTCACCCTCACCGGATCCTTGAAGAGTGGAATCGTATCTTATTCATAACAGAATCCTATGCCACATCATAATAGCTGGCCCAATATTTATTTGAACCATATTTATGGTCTGCAAGGATAAATGAAAGGCTAGAGGAAGTGGATTTGGAAGCATTGCTTTTCAGTGCCAAAGACCCAGACAGGTTCCTCCTTCCCTAGGACCAGCACAGGAAGACAAAGCATATGCAACAAGATGGGGCAGGGAGTCTCACCAGTGGTAATCAGACCTGTGGGTCTACCTTTCAGAGGCTCTGGGAACTCCAAGACTCGCTAAATTACATCCTGGGGTCCAGCAGCATCTGCTTTCTACTCTCAGTCTATTGTGTAGCCAACAAGACCCCCATAGCAAAGCACAGCCCTCTCCAATCTCCTAGGCAGCAAGCTTGGAGGCATGGCCAGTCCTTCCTTCACCAAGGAACAGGGGCCTGGATCACCTAATTCCTGAAGGCAGCACTTCCCATTGCAAGGGCACTTGCTTGCTATCTAAGGAGCTGTTTGCCCCTCCACCCATTCCCAGAGCTCCCCAAGGACCAGCCCAACAAGAATGGAAGAACTTTGCCCCAGTCCAATGTATATTCTATACATCAGACACCCCTTTCCCAGACTTTAGACAAATGCCATGTTCCCCAAGAGAGGTGGGAAAGAGGGCAGGAGGAAGTCTGGAACAAAAATTCAATGGAGAAGGAGAAACCAAGAGGAGTTTTGAGATCAGAATTAAAATCTTTAATACAAAATGCTTTTTTTAAGATATATCTGTATTTCTTTGCTGTTGTTTAAAAATAAATATGTACTACGGAATATCTCGAAAAACTGCACTAGAGACAAAGACGTGATGTTAATATCTTTTCCCCCCACAATTATTACGGATAAACAGTAGCACCAATAAATAAATGATAACAAATATTAAAATTAAAAAAGGAGCGAGATTTAGTATGTAGATTTCTCTATTTTTCTTGTTTTGCTTTTACATATAAAAAACAGAATAGCAATGTCTATTTCATCAGAATCACATATATACATAAACATATATATATATATATACACAAACACGAGTTGCCAAATATATATATAGTATGTAGATGTATACTGAAACCTTATTTCAGAGGAATGTGTGGTGGGGAGCCAGGGGAAAGGGGAGGGCAGAGCTGAGTGTTAGCAAAATTAAATATCTGTTCAGGACAAGCTAGTGACTATCACCGATTAGGGAGAAAGGGATTGGAAACATGATTTTTATACATAAAAACCAATACAAATAAGAGAGCGCAAGAGAGAACAAGAGATACATTTCATAAATAGTTGAAATTAAATATTAACCAAGAATACTGAAAAAACCTAGCCTTTAATTAAATTAACTGTTTTAATTTCTAATTAAAAAGGGATATTAAATAAGTACCGTATACACGTATAAAACACTTTCTCTTTTCTCTGCCACCACAGTGGGCACATGGATCCTGCCCTGTCTCTCTGTGCCTCAGGAAGGGAAGGGTTGTGGGATGGAGGAGGATTAACCACTCACACACACAGCTAGGTCTCCTGGGGGGCGGGGGGGACAGAACTAGTGGTTTCAATGGTCTGAGGAGATTAGGTCCCCCTGGGCTAGACCCCAGGAAGCGGAGAAGTAAGCGGACCAGGTTTGGGTCCCAGGAGGAGCTGTCTCCAGGCTGCTTCTTCTGCCAACATCTCTCTTCTCTTTGCCGGGTTATCTGTCAGTGGCCTCGTGGGCATCTAGGAAGCAGGTGAGAGGAGAGGAACCCCTGCAGGCTCCTGAATCTTCCAGACAATGCCCCTGGGGGCGACATGCCCACACAACATGTGAAGAGGATCTCCAAAGCACAGCAACGTCCTGAAGCTCTCCAAACTCCTAGTCAGAGCCAGCATCCTCGTCACTGGACCTGTCACACGTCTTTCCATCCGTTTGACTGAGGGTAGAGGCTTGGGGCCAGGGCTGGGTTTGTCAGTGTTCTCAAAAGTGGGTCATATTTGCCCCCGTGCCCTGGCCTTGTATATTCCCAGACAGGGAGCGGATCTGGTCCCCCCTAAGAGGGACAAAAAAAAAGCTTATGCCAGAGTCTTTTGTCCCATCCTCTTCCCTGTCAGGATCTGGGTGGTGACATTCTCCTCCCAACTCAAGTCCACAGCAGTCAAATACATCCAGTGAAGACACCAATAACATTAGCACTGTTAATTTAAAAAAAGAATATATATATTTTATATATATAAAATATATATATTTATTTTTATATATATTATATATATATATATATATAATGTATGTGGGTGGGTGTGTCTACAGGAATCCCAGAAATAAAACTCTCTAATCTTCCGGGCTCGGTGATTTAGCAGCAAGAAAAATAAAATGGCGAATCCAATTCCAAGAGGGACCGTGCTTGGTCACCCGCCCGGGAATGCTTCTGCCGGAGTCTCACCCTCCGGACCCAAAGTGCTCTGCGCAGAGTGTGTCCTCTTCCTTCATTTCAGGTTTCTGGATTAAGGACTGTCTTGTTGATGGTGATGGTGGTGTGGTGGCGGCAGCGTGGTTTTATATCGGTCATTCTGTATCAGTCTTTCCTGGTGAGACGTCTGGTTCCTGAAACCCTGAGGGAGGCTCCTTCCTCTCGCCCAGCTCACCGTCTTGGCTTGTCACATCTGAGGGAAATGGAAAACAGGGGTTTTGGTGAGGGCCAAGTGAGAAGGCCAGGCCGTGAGGCGGGCAGCCGCCCAGGAGAGCAGAGAAGACAAGGAAGGTGCCATCTTGCGACAGAAAGCCACAGTGTGAGGAACAGCCCAGCCCCTGCCCCTGGGAGGCCCCAGTCTGAACAGTGGCTATGTTCAGGGGCTCCCAGTCTGCCCTTAGAGCCTGCAATCTACTCGAGACAAGACAAAGACATGGGGACACTTTACAAAGCAACAAACGAACAAGTACCAAAGAACCGTCCCTACTTGACATTCTAACAGCTGAGAGGTGACCAGAGTTGGATAAAGTGAATCAGAAGAGGACCCCTGCAGAGGAGGATTTTCAGCTCAGTCTCTGTGGGGCTGGTACGAGGAAGAGAGTGGGTAGAGAGTCCCGGAGAGCACGTTGAGCCGGGGAAACGGCCAGCGGAAGGGAGGGCCTGACCTGGGGACCTGAGGCTTCCGAGGGAGTGGAGCAGGAGGGGCCTGGGGCCCTGGGCAGGTGACGGAACATCTCCATTCCCCATGCCCACCTCCTGGCCTTGGCTGGAGGCTTCATCTCTCTCGAGCTGGTTGGTAGTTGCGGGCCCAGGTACCAGGCTGCCTTTCCCTTCTAACATGCTGTTTAAGTTGGGTGAGGAGAAACAATTTTTGTGGTTTCACTACTCCTGTTGAAGCAAAATGGACCTCCCAGAACTTTCTCATCACGTCCCTGCCCCTGGGCTGATTGTCTTCTACCCTCTGTACCATGAAGAAGAGGCAGAATAGGTCCGGCCTGGGAATGGGGTTCCTAAGCCTCTAATTTCGGAAACTAAAATTCCCAGATACAGTCAGGTTGGAAGTTGGGTTAGAGTACCTTCAGTTAGCTCCCAGGTCACTTTGCACTCTACCCCCTACCCCCATCTATCTCTCTGCAGATTACCACAGATGTGAAACCCTAAAATGGCAAGTCCCTTATCTTCCCCAAGGCCCCTTGGGGAATTGGGACCTCCCTCATCTAGCCCTGGAATTAGGCAGAGCTAATTCAACACTAATATATGCTCCCTTGGCACACTATACATAATGCCAAGACAGACAGAACCCATTCAGAGCATGGTTCCAGTGTCCGCTGAACACTCACAAGCACAAGAACATTGACGGGGATCAAAGAGATGCTCCAAGGACTTTGTTAGTGGAGTGTCTACTAACTTGGGGGTACCTCGGCCCTACCTGAGGAATCCCTATACAAATTCCTACACCCTGGGTAAACTTCACTCTGGTCCAAAAGTTCCCCGTCACTTCAAGCAAAGGCCAGGTTGGTATAAAGAATGCCAGAAGAGGCATCCAAAAATTAACCTGCCACCTGTCATAGCCCTCTGCCCCCCTGAACTCAGTCACGTATTCACTCATGTACTTGACACTTCCTTGGTCCCCATCATGAACAAGGAACAGAGGTACAGATACCTTGAGATCACCAAAGTAACTAAACCAAGCCCAGGCGCAGCCTCCTCCTTCCACTCATGGGAGGCATCTGAAAATGTATGTGCTGCTTGGGAATGGCATTCTGGTATCTAGTGTTCTCAGATGCTCTATATCTCCTTCAATGTGTAGGAAGAATTACCCCATCCTAAATCAACAGCCACGGTCCTTGCCCTCAAAGAGCCCCAGCCTGAGGGGGAGACACAGCCCTGTCCTCAGGGAGTCCCAGCCTGAGGGTCCAAATGGTCCTATCCTCAGGGAACCCCACTCTGAGGGGAGACACAGCCCTGTCCTCAGGGAGCCCCACTCTGAGGGAAGACACAGCCCTGTCCTCAGGGAGCCCCAGTCTGAGGAGACAAGTAGCCCAGGTGCATAGACTTCAGAGAGCAGTGGCAAGGTCCACCTGGAATGTTTGTGCTTTGTAGACATTGTTCCACACCTGGAGGACTCTCAGTTTCTCAGTATTAGTACCAGAGGTAGTTAACAGCATCAGGACCAACAGCCACTACGAGTAGCAGGACCACAGGACACAACACACAGCTTGCGTCCAGACCACCACATTAAGCCACACCAGCCTACCCACTCAGACAACCGGAGCAACCTCTGAGCAGCCCCCACCAGGCTGGATCAGTGCCCACAGCCCACTTCAGGTCCCTTAAAAGCAGAAAAGTAGCAGTCACCAGCAGCTAGAAGCCAAGCAAGCAGTTGGCCCCTCTCAGGCGTGCGCTCTCTCTCTCTTTCTCTCTCTCTCTCTCTCTCTCTTTCTTTCTCTCCCCATCTCCATGTCATACCCCTCTCTGACTTGCTTGCCCTCTGGGAACCAACCTGCAAGTACGTTCGTTTAACTCAAGTTGCCTCGCCTTGCAACGCGAGTCTGTGTTTTTGCAGGAACATTTACACGTCTGCGGATCTTGTATAAACAAATGCTTTCTCCGCTCTGAGCAAGGCTCACAGGGACTGCAAAAAGGCAAAAGGAAAGACATCTAAGCTAGAGCATCAGCAGAGAGAGAGGAAAAAAACACCCATGCAATACCCTCTAACACATCCACAGCTGCATCCCCACCCTGCTCATCAGCCCCACACCCTTCCAAGCCCTGGAAGGATCTGAGCACTACAGCAGAAGACAGAGAGCGCGGCGGAAAGAGGCAGCTCTGGCTAGATGCCTGCCCACAGGAAGAGGCGGGCACAGACAGGCAGAGAGTGCAGGGAGAGGCTGCCGTAAGGAGCAGTGCTGTGTCCTAAGGAGATGAGTCTCAGGCCATAGGGCCCCAACTGCTGCCACCCATAAATGATCACACCTTGATGCTTCACCTGTTGGGGACAACATTTAGGGGCCACTGAGATCGCCAGGGGCCACCTTCTCCCTGTGCAAGGGCTTATGCTCAGTCCCCTCCACCAAAGGTAGGCTAACGAAGGTGCATGATGGCAGCTAAGTCCAGAGGCAATGTCCACAGGCCAGGCCACTGGTGGCCAAGGGCCCTGGACAGTCACAGCCTCCAACCCAGAAGAGGCCTCTCTACAGGGAGGCTTCTGTGGATGCTCTGTTGGGCTCGAATAGGGGTTCCTCTCCAGAGGCCCCAAGTCCATGAGGAGCCAAGCCACTTCCACCAGATGAAGTAGGCCTGTCACACAGTGTTTGACCACACCCAAGCTCCTCCTTCGGCTGAAAACAAGCTGCTGCCAGTCATTCATAACCCTCCCTCATGCCATACCTGCCCTCCCCACCACCCTCAGCTTCCAGACAAGTGTAGAAGCCTAGAGCAGTGAAAACGAGCTAGGTGAACAGGCACCACTGCCTGGCACCCATGCCAACATGGGCCCGCCACCAATGCCCAGTGGGTGAGAGAAAGTCGGTGCCCAGGCAAGCCACAGTCCCCTCCCTGAATCCAGGCCAACTAGGCCTCCCACCCATCCAACCTCAACCCTGGACCAGCAATGCCACCACCGAATGTACCCGTTGGTGCCAATTAGTGGAGTGAGAGTGAGAGAGAGACATGGGCCAGAAGGGAAAGTTGAGAGGCAGGAATGATCCAGGGAGGGAAGCAGGGTTATGGGGTACTGCAGGCAGGGGTTTGAGTTGGGGCCGGGAGGCTCCAGGGAATTAGACAGCAGCGGGCACCAACGTACACGCTCCAGGATTTATACCGGGATTTCTTGCGCTTTCGTTTTTGCCCCTTTCCCTTTCCTCGAACTGATTTTCTGGAAAATAAAAAAACAGAGACAGACAGAGAGAGCGAGGGAGGGGGGGAAGGGAGAGCAAAAGAAGCAGTGAGGAGGGCAGTGGTGAGAATAACCAAAACAAAGCCACAGGGCCCTGCTCCCTGGAGCAAGGTGTTGGAGGAGGCAGGTGGTCTCTAGAAAGGTGGGCACGCAGCAGCATGGGTGAGCCAGGGCAACACACACTCAGTGGCTCCTTCTTCTTCTCACTGTGCCCATCCTGGGGTGGCAAACTCAGCCCTGGCAAAGTTTTGAGTGAGAAGCAGAGACTAGGTGGAGAACACAGGACCCAAGGATCTCCAGGCTTATGGCAGCCCCTGGTCTTAGGCACAGGTAAAGCCCTGAGCACAGGCATTTTGACCAGCAATTCTGTACATGTCTGACCCTAAAGGTCAGGCAGCAATAAAAGGTAAATTAGACTTTGGGGAAACAGTCAGAAATCTGACTTGATGGAGCATAGGGGGGACCATGCTTTATGCCTTCATTTCTAAGTATAATAAAAAAGGGATCCTCCAGGGCTCTGCCTCTGGGAATCTTAGTGTAGGGGAGTAGCTACCTTGAGATCTGGCACAAAACCAAGAGTAGCACATGAAAAGTACCAACCTGTCCAGCCATAACCTGAGCTGAGAGGCAGGGCTGGGTGTCCTAGAGCCCAGGCAGTATAGGATGAGGTGGGAGTTAGTGAGGGCTAGGGAGGAGGGCCTGGGTGGTACTTGGCAGGGAGTTCTCTCCCTAGCCTGTCAAAGCCAGCTACACCATCTCGCCAGACTCTCTTCTGAGCTCAGGCAAGCCCCTGGCTGTCCCTGTGGGCAAGTGGGCAAAGCAGGCATTTGGGGAAACGGGCAGCCCCTTAAGGGAACCAGCACTCTCCACGCCTGCCAGGCCTGAGAGAACACAGCTCACAATGTCTGTCACAGGGAAGAAAGGAAGGGGAGAAGGGACCAGAAAGGTCAATTCTGTTCCTCCTCATGAGGAGGATGAAGGATGGAAGGAGGAGGGTCTCCTCCCCATGAAGGATGGAAGGAGGAGGGTCTTTGCAAGCCCACACTCTGGAAGCTGGGGGCTTAAGGAAGAGATAAGGGGTTGAGACCTAGGGGACTTCAACGTTCCAAGGCAGTGGTGGCAGACAGGATGGGAAGGTGGGGCACAGGTGCTCTCTCTCAGTCTCTTTCCCTACTGTAGACTCATTCCCAATGCCAACTGCTCACTCTGTCAGAAGGCTTACTGTCCCTAGACCTTGCCCCCACCTCATCCTACCCTGACCATCCATATGCTGAGCAATTGAAAACCTCTGAAATGACCAACATTCAACTTTTTCTCCCTGACCAAGAGGGCTGTATGTCAGCTGCTTGCCCTCCTCCTACTGAAGGGCACGCATCAAGAAAACCCCTAGCTGGCCCCAAATCCAATCATGGCACCACAGTAGCCACCAAAAGAGGCCATTTCCTCTGACACACAAAAACTGGCCTCTGCCACCCACTTCCTCTCCCCACCATGGGGGCCCTAGAGCAACCCGAGGACCCACTGTCCACATTGCTCCTTGACACACCAAAACACCAACTTCTGGTTAGGAATGATCTGAAGACCTAGAAAGTATTGTTTCTTCCAAAGGAACTGCTAGGCTCCCAGCTAGCTTTGCTCACTAACCCTAGAGCCAGAACCCAGAATGGAGTTCACTCCATTCTACTACTGCCTCCACAAGACCGACTCCCTGACTTGGTGAGTCCATCAGATTCCCCAACAGAGGAAGCCAAGAGCCCCAAACCAAGGCAACCAGCGAAAGAGAGAAAGAAGTGCTAAAGTCAGGGCCACTTACCTTTCTTGCTTGTCTTTATCTTCCTTTGGTCTGCAATGGGTAGGGAGGGAAAAAAGAACAAAATAGAATAGTTGAGATGGTGATGATAATGATAGAGATAATAATAATAGTATCATGATCTATGTGTATATGACTTAATAAAAAATTTTTTTAAAGTAATAACAGTAGTAAAAACTTCACATAGTATTTATGATGATTGCAACACTGTTTTAATCCTTTTACAACCAATGTCTCACTTAATCCTTATAACAATGCTATGACATATATACTATTATCGTGCCCATTTTATAGATGTGGATACTGAGGCACAATGAAGTAAAATGCTGAAGGTTGGAAGGTAGATATGGGCTAACAAGGGCAACATGCTTCACTCTGGCACAGATCAGTGCCTCACAGCCATTTGCTAACTAAATCCATGACTCCATCCTCACCTGCATTCACATTTGAGGTGCTGTAGGAAGCTCATCTCTCCTATGTGCTGGCTTTGGTGAGGTTTGATCCGCATAATCTACAGGGAAAAGAAGCAGATCAGAGGTTAGTGACCCAGCCAGCCAAACCCAGATGGGACGCCCCGGGGCTCCTGCCACTGGGCACCCAGGGGTTCTACAGAGCAGGGGTGGGTGGTAGAGGAAAGGTGGACCAGGAACTCTAGCAGAAAAGAGCCTTGGAACCAACCCAATTCCTCCAACCCTGCTGGCCTCAAGGAGCCCTGCTCCACTTGAGGGCAGATATGACTACATGACTGCAAGGGTTGGCCAGGCTGGGAATTCAAATCCTGGGTTCATGTCACTCCCCATTCCCTCCCCTTCTTTTATCCCTTCTAGGCCTCACCCTGATCCCTAGCAGCTACCAGACAGCCACCCCTTCCCTGTGTCTCACAGCTCCCTCCTGCACTATCTGGGCTGAGATGTGCCCCATCACCAGGTAGTACCAAAAGACCAGCTTTTTAAACTCTCCACTGACTAGCTCATCCATCTTCCCAAACAGAACTCCCTAGGAGGGAGGGTCCTCAGAGCTCTTTCCAAGAGAAGAGAAGAGGGGCTCACAGACATCAGCCCCCTCCTGAGCCCAGGAGGCAAAGGTCAGGGAACAGCAGATGGTCAGGACTTGCTGGGAACCTCGGCTTCCCAGGAAATGCAAACATCTTCTAGATAGAAGGCAAGACCCCACCACACCTATTCATGTCCAACTCAGGGGCAGAAGCTGGATAAGGCAAGTCTAGCTCCTCCTCAAAAGAGCTTCCCAAGAAATGGCCCAGGAACACCAGTTCCCAAAATCTTACACCCCTCCTCATTTCCCCCTGTCCCCACTCCCACAGGTGCTCACCTGCATAGTGACGTTGGACTGTTCAATGGCCACACATTGCAGGCCTTCATCACTGCAGCAGCCCGAGCATCGCATCAGGGGTACACAGGATGGCTTGAAGAGGTACTCAATCTCATCAGGGTACTCCTGGAAGATGTTCACCAGAGTCTCCATCGGATGGCAGTAGCTGCGCTGGTAGACGTCCATGAACTTCATCACTGCATGGGAGGAGGTGACACATGAGCTTAGTGGTGACATAAAAGATAGCTGGCTAGCCCCTATCTCTATCCAGCTCTGTAAGACCACTCCTCAGAGCTTTCATGAGAAGTACTCGCTATCAGGCAAGTCCTTCTAAAAATCTAACTTAAGTCCCTCCTGTTGTATTTGAAGCATTTCCCTAAGCTTTCCGCCAACACTAATGAAGGTCTGTTTTTATTCCAAAGGTCACATGATGCTGTCAAGTTCCAAGGGAGATGGCCTCCAACATCTGATCCCTCTGCCCCACTGTGATAGCTAAGCCAATTCCTGGGACAACCTTGATGCACCAGAGGACAGTTTGAATATGGGTCCACATGTGGGGGCTGCTCTAAGACAGTGGTTCTCAACCTTCCTAATGCCATGAACCTTTAATACAGTTCCTGTCGGTTGTGACCCACAGGTTGAGAACCGCTGCTCTAAGCTTTCCCTGAAAGGAGGAGCATCCAGCTTTGCCAAGCTTATTCTCTATTTTCCTACAACCTCCCCACAGCCAGCCACTCCTATTATATCAACCACCAACATTTATTGAGCACTTACTACATGCTCGTTCTGTGTACAATAGTCCATAGTCATCATCTCTTACAGTATTCCCCACTTGGTACTATTAGATACTGACATTTTGCAGATGGGAAAATAGAGGCTCAGAGAGGCTAAGGTACGTGCCCCAGGGCCATACAGCTATTAAGTGGTAGAGTTAGAATCAGCTCTGACACCATATCCTTCCCAAACCACTGTCATGCAAAAACAGAGAAGCTTCAGGAGTCACCTTGCCACCTGCCAGCCTCCCTCCCCAAACACGGGCTGAGGAGGTGGTGGGCATCAGCAAAGGAGCTGGGCCCGCCTGGAACCAGCAGGTAGCAGTGGGCGGGCATGTTTTGCCAGCCCTGCCAGCCACCAATAACCCCGCCCAAGAGGGCAAATTGCTTGCATCATGGAAAAAACACTGCTGCCACTGCAGCCATGAAGCATTTCTAGAAGCTGATCTGGAGAGAGACCAGGGTAAAGACAGTTTCCCAGGCTGGCCATAGAGCCCAGGGTGCATCAGAGCATGAAGGGGTAATTCTGGGCCACAGGGGCGGGGCCCTTGAGAATAAATAAATGCAGGCCTCCAGCATGACTCCTCGAAATTGTGGTTCAGCCTGCCACTCCCCATCACACCCCCTACCATCACATAGCAGTCCTGTTCCTCAGATGGGTTCCCCCACACAGAAGGAAGAAATAACACTCAGCCAGTGTGTAGGCCCAGGCTCTGGCCATAACTTGGTGTGACCGTGGGCCAGTCCGTCCCCTTTCTGGGCCTCCAACTCTGTCGTTCTGTATAAGTGCGCTGGGCTGATCTCTAAAGACACTGCAATAGAGGCTGAAACATGGGGTTTTATCTTCCATTCCCAGCCCTGAGAGTAAGCCCAGGTCACACAAAGTTTGAAACTTCACCCACACATCTTAAGTGTATGCCCTATAGATAGACCATAGCTGAGCTTCTATATAATAGATTGGCTAGAGAGAAGGCAACAGGTGTGAAAACAGAAAGAACAGTAAGGAAACCCAAGCCAGTCCTCACCTTCCCCAAGGTCTCTACTTCTAATGACAGATGAACATAGACTCCTTCTCTACCCCCAGAGGGTAAAGGTAAAACATTGTCAAAAAGAGTAAATGACACCAGGAAGTCTGGAAAATATCAATTTTTAAACCAGGTCAATATTGAAGAAGATGACTAATCAAGAAATTTTGAAATGACTTCATTATGGTTGGGACAGAGGTAGCCTAAATTTGTGGTTCCAACCCACAAGGGGATAGCAGAAAGGTCTAACCTGGGCGAGGAGCTGGTAGCTGAGGGTAAAAAGACCTTGGCTGGGAATTCCTTTGAAAAGGTTCTCCCTGGAATTCCCAAGTCCTGCAGGAGGTAGAGGGAAGCAACTCTGCTAGCACCCCTCATATCCTAGCCACGGCCTTGGAGGAGAGCTAGCCTCCTGTTGCACAAGGAGTATACTCCAACATCAGGCTTTCCTGGTTTTCCTTATTTATCGAAGACAACCTTTTCTTCAGCAAACAAAAACCATTTGTCTTGCCTCTCCCAGACCACAGAGACCACTGGGAGGCCAAAGGGGGTGGGTGGCGCGCTGGGAGCCAGGGGCCCTCAATGGCTGGAGAGCCAGGCCCTGGGACAAGCAAAGGGTTTCTGCGGTGGGGAAAAGGAAGATAGAACCAGCTGGGTATCACTACCCCTGGCTGCTATCCCTGTCACACAAACATGAGATGTAGGTCAAGGAAACTGGCCTGGAGGAAGACCCCAGGGCCTGCCCTACTCAGAGATGGAGAGCTGGGGGAGCGGCATAAGAGCTGGAGTATAGGCCACATTCAGCGGTGGAGAGAGTCTAGGCGTCCCCAGAGAAATGGGAGGATCCCTACTCCAAACCACAGCGGAACAAAAGGCAGGCAGACTCGGGGTTGGGCAGGGGGGCGGGGCGCCTAGGAACTACAACTGGCCCTCTGCTGGCCTGGGAAGGAAGTTCCCAAACCTAGTCCACTGGGGCTTTCTCTACTCACAAAAGAATGCAAACTGGGATGGGAAGAGATGATCCCATTAGGCTGGACCCTCCGCACCTCCAGCCTATACAGGAAGGGTCACAGCCCCCACAGGTGGGACATGGCTATGTAGGAAGTGATACTGAACATCCATCAGCCCCAAAAGCAGGGGTGGACAAGGGACACCTCCTCCAACATCTGGGATCCCTGAACACTGTCTTCCTGCTCTGTGCTCACAGCTCCCTCCTCAAATAAAATTTTACTAAAAAAAAAAAACAGAAGAAAAAGACCAGAAGTTCTATTTCAAGCTGAGACCTGAACAGAGAAAAGTCCTCAAGAAACTAAACGGTTAACCTCACAGTACCCACCTCTTTCTTCCTTGATCTTCATATAGCTGTACCCTTGCCCTCTTCCTCTCTCCCCCCTTCAGTGTAGAAAAGGAATCGAGCCACCCCACCCACTCCATGAGGGAACAAGACCCCCACCCCATCCAAGAGCCAGGGGGACTCACCGTTGGAATCCTTCTCGCCTTCTGCTGCAGGCGCAGCCTGGGACCACTGAGGACAGAACAAAGAGCAAGGTGTGGGCAGGGGCACAAACGCCCAGCCACCTAGCCCCTCCACCCTTTTTGCTTCCCTCCCAGCCCACAGCCTCTAGCTTCTCCAAGCCTTCTGAGTAGAACAGGGCATGGCTGGGTGTCCCCACAAACACAGAGCATGCCCACCACTCCTGGACCACTCCAATTCTCAATCCAAGGAAGTTAAAGACTAACCAGATGTTGTGAGGTGCAGGAGGCAAACATGAGAATGCTGCACTATCCAGGTCCCCTGTCCCTAGCCTCTCCTTGCCCTCACTGCCCCCCTGATTTCCTGGTCCAAAGCCATGGGTAAGTATTAAGGTCAAATAGGAGGACAAATTTGTACTGGGGCAGGAAGGAAGGACTGGGGGCGAGAAAAACAACATGGTGACCTTCCCTTGCTGACATGACAAATACCAGGGTGAGCTGGTGTTGGGGGGGGGGGTACAGAGGACCGAAGGGCACCAACTACCCTCCCCCATCTAGACTCTCCCAGTCCTCAGGAATACCCAGCATACCCACAAGTTGCTTACAGGGTAAAAACATAGGAGGAAAGCCTGAGGCAGGGAAGAGTCCCATTTCCTCCCTGCATAAATCTCCCCAAAGCCTGAATAGATTTCCAAAGCCTCACCAGCCTCCCACACCCACCTGTTCCCTTGTTTCTTCTCCTTCCCAGAGTAAGGAGGTCCCAAGCTCCTCTCCCCTAGGTACCTTCCTCAAATGCCACCAGGGAAGCTTTTTATGCCTTAGCTCTGCCCAGCCCCTAGGGGGCCCCCTGCACTACCCTAGGCCTGAGGCCTCCCCCAGACCTCCCTTCCCCCACCAGATCATTCCTATCCCAGAAGCTGTGAAGGTCAACACAGGCAGCCATGTGGACCTGACAGCAACAAGCAAGCAAAGGCTTCTCCTAGCCTGCCTGGGGGTTTCAGGTTCCCATCAATTCCTCACCCCACCTGCTCCTACAGCTGCACTCTAGTGACAGAACCTCAGGACCCACTGGGAGGGAGTCCCACTGTCTCTCTCTCCTTCCCACATAGCCCAAATGCACCATACCCAAGTCTCCCAGCCTTGCCCTCAGAGCCAAAGTCAGAGGAAGCCCCTCTCAAGGCAAAAGAGCAGTTCCCGGACTCCCACCACTGCTCCCTGAAGGACCCCTGGTTTCTGCACCCCAGCTCCTCACCCATTCCCACAACTCCCACTGAAGTCTCCCTGCCAACAGTCTCTCTGCGGCTTCCAATCCTCCTGGGCCCCAACAAGGAAAGGGGACAGACTTCATACCCCCTCCAAGACCAGGGGGCACCTGAGGGGTGGTTCTAGACAGGGAGGGGCCAGGTGCCCTTCTCTGGGGGCCGTGAAGGTCACACTGTGGCCAAGCAGCCACTCCTCCCCCTCCTCCCTACTTGGAGGCCTGAAGCCAAGGCCTTTGTGCCAGGGTCTAAGGAACTCCTGGTGGTCACAGGGACCCCTGTCCATGTCCTTCTGCCTATCTCTTCTCCGAAGGGGACCCTGGCTGAGGCAAAGAACAAGGGGGGGCAGAAAAAGACCCCGTGGCTTTGAGAAGCAAGTTGAATGGGCAACTTTGGAGTTCCAAAAAACCACCTGCTCTAACGCCCCATTTCACCAGGACAAAGTATGTGTGCAAGGCTGGCAGGAGCTCCTTGCAAAGGTTCAGGAAGAGCTATTCCCATGCTTCCCATGCTTCCCATGTCCTGGCAAATTTCAAACCATTTCTCCAAAAAGGCAAAGTGAGCTAATAACACTCTTCAAACTCTTCTTTCACCCACCCCTATAAAAGCTACAGCACAGCTCATTGGGAACTCTTAGGGACAGGAAGGAAGCACACTGTCACCAAGTCGGGACTTTCAGTAGTCTCACAAAGCACCAGGGTGGGCCCCGACTTCTGACAGTGATCAACCTTTCTCTGGACTCTGGGGCGGGAGAATGATTAGAAAGATCTCAGCAGTAAGGGGTAAAAAATAAAGGGGTAGCAGGGGCTTCTTCCATGCTAGGGAACAAATGGGAAAAGGGAAAGGGCTTCAGGAAATTTCTCCTAGCACAGAGCCAAAGGTAATGACTGGACACGGTAGGAAGGAATAGGGATGGTTCTCTGGGTCCCCGGGCTAGGGCTACCTCGAGAGGTCACCTTCCCGCGGAGGGCCGGCAGGGGGGAGGGGCGCCGCTCGCCGCGCTGGGCCCCGGGCTCCGGCAGCCGCGGCTCCGGGAACACGCGGCCGGCCAGGCCCGAGCTGATGTAATCGGCTCCGCGCCGCGCGCGCCCGGCCGGGCGGGGGAGGGCGGGCACCGAGCGGGACGCGAGCGGAGCCGGGCGGGGGTGGCGCGGCGCAGGTGGCCCGCCAGGAAGGGGGGGGTCCCCGCAGCAATCTACCCCCAAACTTTCCCAAACTCGCGACTAAGGCCGAAGAGACCGGATGGCAGTGACAGCAAGCCCCCTCTCTTGCTTGTGCCCTGCCCCCCTCCGTGCTCTCTGCCCTCTCCTGGTCCAAGGTCCGAGCACCCCGCTGCCCGCGGGGCTCTGTCTCCCGCCCCCGCTGCCCCAACTTCCAGTTCGTTGGGGACCAGCGGCCGGGAGCAAACTTCAGCCTCTAGCGACAGCGCAAGCCCAGCCCCCTAGGCCTCCTCCTCCGACTCCCGCCCTTCTCTGGTCGGCCCAGATCGTACGTGCGATGACTCTGGTGGGTGGGCAGGGCCCGCGTGGGCGGTGAGACTCTATCCTGGTGCCCTCCCACCTAGCGCGCACCCCCTCCCCCTACATGTACGACGACATAGGGGGATGCAGCGCTCCTGGTGTCCATGGACCCGCGTGGGGCACGGAGCCCCCACGCGCGCGCTCGCACGCACGTCCCTAGCCGGGAGAGGCGCTCGCAGCGGCCCGCGGCCCCGGGCGGGTACTGCCGCTTACCTTGGCATGATGGAGGTAGAGCAGCAAGGCAAGGCTCCAATGCACCCAAGAGAGGAGAAAGTTCATGGTTTCGGACACCCGACCCTGGCCGGCGTGGCTCGCACTCCCTCTTGGGTTCTGGCTGCGGGACGGCCCGCTCTCCTTGGCGCCTTGGTGGGCTCCTCTTCCTCCCGCAGCAGAGACTGGGGCCAGGGCCTGGGGCGCGCGCGCGGTTAGATCACTGTCTGCGCACACCACCACCTCACCGGTCCATAAGCCCGGCTTCCAAGCGCTGAGTCGCCACCGCGGCCCCCTCACCTCTTCCTTCTCTTCTTCCTCCTCCCCCTCCTCTGGCTGCGGTTCCTCCTGGCCCGACCTAGCACTTCTCTCGGCTCCGCTCAGCTCGGTTCTCCCAGCGCGGACCACGGCTCCTCCGGAAAGAGAACAGCCCAGAAGTTGGACGAAAAGTTTCAGTGCAACGCCGCGAGCCCCGACCCCCTCCACCCCGTCTCGAGGCGCGGGCTCCGGCTCCGGCCCGCGGCTCGCCGCCGCGTCCACCGTCGGCCGCCGGCCGGGGAGGAGGTGGGCGCTGGGGCTGGGGGCGGTGTCTGTCTGTCTGTCCGTCAGCTCCACTGGTCCGCCGCGGGATCCCAAGGGGGAGGGCTCACGCTGCGCTCCGGCGGTCACCCCCAAAAGCAGGTCACTCACTTTGCCCCTGTCCTCTCGCTGCTTGTTCGTCCGCGCGCTCTCTCTGATCCGATCTCTCTCTTCCTCGACTTCTCTCTGGAGCTCTTGGTACCTCTTCTCTCTTCCTGCTGGTTTCCAAAATCCAAAGTGATTTGGGGGAGTAAAGGAGCAATCCCCCCAAACCGTCGGCTCGATTTAAGTGGGGGATAGGAAGCAAAAATAAATTAGAACGGGAAGCAATACAGTTTTTTGAAAATGTTTAAGAAAAAAGGAGGGGAATAAACCCCGGTTAAATGAATATCAAATTCCAGCGCGGAGACCTCTGGCCGATGAGTCCTGCGGACGGTCCGCCTCGCCGCTGCGTCTCCCGACAGAGTGCCGCTGCCGCCGGCTCCGCTAGCCCCCTGCGCCGCGGCCTCCTTCCAGCCCGGCTGCCCCAAGGCTCTGCGATCTTCCCAGACACCAGTCGACTTTAAAAAAAAAAAAGAAACGTAGCTCCGCCCCCACCAGGACCCCGCCCCATCCCGCCCTCCTGGGCGGGGACCCGTGGAGCCTATGCCCCTTGCCTCCATCCCCGAGGCGTGCTGCTGGGGTTTCGTGCCTCTGCCTTCCCCCGGGGGCACCCAGTAAAGCCTGGGCCCCCAGCATGCCATACCAAAGGAAAGTTTAACCCCCACCAAGATTCATCGCCTGAAAATTACCCGTCTGGCCTCTGAAACTCTGCCCAGAGACACATACGCCCGCGGGGTATTGAGGGAGGAGGAAGCAGGAAAGTGAGGTTATGTACGGACAGGATCTGAGAGCTATTCCCTCTTTGCTGGAAATATTGGAAGGGATGGGAGGAGGGCTGGGAGCCGGACAGTGACTATTGGGGAGAGGTACATACAGATCTGTTGGAATCCCGGAGTAATTCATGCCCCCTCTACCCTCTTCAACACCCCCAACCCCTACACACCCTCACGCACACACATTGACACACGTCCTCACTCTCGCAGAAGCTGCTCTATCAAGTTCACCCAGCTTCCCTGTGGTGGCCGAGCGCCCCCTAGTGACTACCGTCTGCACACCCCGGCTCTGGCTCCAGAAGGACCCGGCCTTGGAAAGAGGGTGGGGGAAGTTTGCTCCTGAACCCCTCATTTCTGACCTCCCAAACAGTTGTATGTTTGGGAGTAGACTGCCCTTATGTGCACAGAGCCTTGAGCTGGGCACTGGCGGGACAATGCGTCCATCTGGACAATGTGCCCATCTGGAACCCTCATCTGGCCTGCAGACATCAAAGTGAGCTAAAGCCAAGAGGCTGGAGTGACTGGGGTCCCTTGGGAAGTGTCCAGGAAGATTTCCCTTACAAGAGGAATTTGGCATCAAGTTTGTGGATCTCAGAAAGAGAAGCTGTGTAGTTCCAGGGTTAGTCAGTGACCCAGAGGAAAGAGGACCTGTTGGAGCCCACGTATGCACTGTGGAGTCTGCCAGAAGCCAAAAGGGGAGGCAGCTGGGCAGACAGAGGCCCTTGTTCCTGCTGCCTTCCCCCTGCAAAATGTTGCCAAGAAACTGAGGCCAGGGGGCTGGTGGGGGCGGATGGAGGCCAGGACCTGAGTAATGTTTCAAATCTACCCACCAGCTCTAAGAACCGTCTGTAGGCCAGCTGCCTGGAGCTCCTACCAGGCTGGGGGACAAGGTTTCTATTAGCCCCAGCCCAGTCTCATAGCTCATCTTCTGCACAGAACTGAGGGTTTCTTCTCAATCCTCCCTCCCATTCCCTCAGGATCCTTTAGCTACTTCTCCAAGCTCACAGCTACTCTCCTCTCCCCAAGTCTCTTCCCTACCTGCAAAGTCCAATTTTCCTCCAACTCCCCATGTTCTCTAAGTCCTCCTCAAACGTCCCTATACCATCTCACCTTTATGTATAGGAATCAGCCTGGAAAAATTCCTGATTGGGCTCTGGCACCTCCAGGGAACAAAGATGGGGTTGAGGATGTGATACTTGTGAAAAGAGAGAAACCAATAAGTCTCATTATCTGGCCAGATTTGGCCAGAGCCTGGCCTAGTACTAAGATAGCCTCTGTGAAGGCCTGGGCTGAGAATAGGAACCCAGAAATTTCCCCCAATTTGACCAAAACACTCCAAGGGAATTACTCTCATTACTCAGCCAGCCCCCTTCCTCAGCACATAGTGCTCTCAAATTCTGAGGTGGTATTCTTAGACCCCTGTAAGAAGAGGAGCTGGCTCCCCTCATCCCACCCTATCCATCATTCATGCTCCAGTGCTGTCTCTACCACCTGGCAGGGTCCCCAGAAGCAAAGACGAAATCTTTTTACAGTTAGTAAATGTCTATTTGCTGGCTCAAAGCCCCTTCCCAGGCAGGACTCCTCACCTGGGCACCGTGAACCAAGCTGCTAAGTGGAATATGGAAGGGAAGTCAGTAAACTTCCTTTTTGTATGTCTCTAGCACTTCAGGGGTACAAGCTGTGGGGACTTTGGCTGGGAGTCCCTCCCTTATCCCTACCCTGAGACAAGACAGAGGCTACAGGTACCAAGGGCTCACTCTAGCCACCCCCCCCCCGGCATCCCTGCTCATTTCAACCTTCTTCAGCCCCTAAAGAAGCAATAGACTTAAAGAGCAGGTCTTAGAAAAAAACCTTACCTTAGAAGGAAGCTGGAGGGGTTCCAAGGAGTGGTAGCCATCAACTGTTAGTCCATGGCCCCAGACTCTTCCCAAGCCAACCATCCCCCACAGTGATATACAAGATCTATTACAACAACCTATTTGAGTTTCCCTAGGTGAGCTTTGCCCAGGAGAGGTGATGGTACAGAATTCCCTTTATGTAGGGCTAGGTAGGATTGCAACCTGGCCTTAGAAGATTTTGAGTAACCCTCTCTAGGGCAGGGATAGTCCTCATGTTATCCTTCATTTTGGAGATAGATACAACCTGGCAGTGATGCAGAGGAAGGGTTTAACTCTGGATCCCATCCCCAATGTGGTGTCACTAGCTTTCACAACTATATGTTCCATGGATTCAGCCAACACCCATATCGTCAGCAAATTAAAAGGTCAAGTCACCTATGTCTTCAAAGACAGAGAGGAAAAGAAATACAAAACAACAATAATAAGACCACATCATGTCTCTTAATCTCCTTGAACCAAATTGATTCTACTTATCCTCCTTCCTCAGGTCAATGCAGGACAGGGGGTAGTAGAGTAAATTGTCTTCCCAGAGAGGGTATATAAAGGCTCAACATCCCCCAGCAAATTGGTAGGGGGTGGAGCAGAGAAGAGCCCAAAGAAAAATCATGCTGGGTCCCAGTTGAGGGGCGACTTCAGCCTCACTTGGAGAGTCTCCCCCCACCCCTCCCAGGACTGCAGTGGCCATAGCCTATGGCTCGGATAGAAGTTCAGAAGGAGCCAAGGAGGAAGAGGAAGGTGTTCCAGGTGAGGGGGAAGCAGAGTGAAGGACAGAGTAGGGGTGGAGAGGAGTGTGAAAGGCAGCCAGGAGCCAGCAGTGGCCCCAAACAAAAGAAGTAGTGATCGGCCCCATGGCATAATAGTTGTACTTTGTTCTGACATCCTGTCACCCTCTCACCCACCCACCCCTCCCCCCCCAATATTCAGGGAAAATCTCACCTGTGTGGGAAAGACAGTTAATCTGGAGGCCCATGGATGAAGGGGCAGAATCTCCTGAGGAGAGAAACAGAGTGAGGAGAGGGTTGCTGGGTCTTGCTGTGATCTACACATTTCTCCAAGTGATTTCACTGTGTTAGAAGATGGTCTTCTCCTTCACTGACCCCTGAACCCCAGGTGCCTACCAGGGCACTGATCTACAGGGGGGCAGGGACCCAAACTTGTTGAATTAAAGGAGGGAGAATTGGGTTGTTTGCCTCAATACCCTGACTCCGGTTCTGGATCAATCAAATCTCTCTTTCTCTTTCCTCTGTGTATCACTAGATGTTTCTCTATTACTAGATCTTTGCAACAAAGCAATAAAAAGATAAATAAAAAGCAAGGAAGAGGGCCTCTTTTCTCCAGTGCCAATGTCCTAGCCTCAGGGGGACCTAGAAGTTTTATTTGGGGTAATGATAGAAAATGGTGGTCCATTGATGAAAAGATTGGAGCAAAGGAAGCCAGGGAAATTAACTCTCTCAGAGAATCCAGTCAGGAAAAGGGAAGAGGAGCTGGCAGGAGAGATGGCAGGGCAGAATCACTGTCTGGGGAAGTGATTACCCACACCACCCCAGGCATCAGCCAAGTCTCTACCTCTCCTTCATGGGCCCTGGTTTAATCCCCTAACACTGAGCTGTCCCTGATGAATTGCTTCTCCCAACAGCCCCAAGTATGCCCACTTCTTGACACCCCAATCTTTTCTACACCTCAAAGTCTAATCTCCTGTTGCCCCCACTGCTGCCCTGTGCACGTCCTTTACCCCACTGCAATCTTGGAGTCCCTCTTGGAAGAAGTGGTAGCAGCTAAGATTCCAAAGTCATAGCCTGACCTGTGTTCTGCCTAGGAGTTGATCTTTGTTCTAAGGTATTCCAGGCACTAGGCTCTGTACTGATTTTACAGAAGATACAGGACCACCTAAGTAGGGCAGTGGAATGTATAGGGGATTTAGATCTAGATGGACCTAAGTCGCATTCCTGCTTCTGGCACTCTTTAACTACATGGCTTTAGGCAGGTTACTTGGCCTCCCCAAACTCAGCTCCTCTGCTCTGTAAAATGACCTGCCTCAGAGAGTTGCTTAACACAGAAAAATGTGCACACAGCTACCCTAGCAGTCAAGATGAGAAAGAGGCCCAGGGAAAGGCACAGAGTGCTATGAGGGTATGGAAGTAAAACAGCCAAACTGTCTGGAATGGGCATAGGGAAGGACTTCCTGCAGGAGGTGGCATAGGAACATTTATCCACAGCAATTATTAAACTCTGCCTGTGAGCCTTGCTTTCAGCTGGACCCTGGGACTACAACAATGTAGAAGGGGCTTGCTATCTGGAGAGGAACCAGAAGAGCAATCTGAAAATGGGAATTCTCCAAAGGAGGCACATAGGCGCTGGGAGACAGCGTCCTTCCTGGAGGAGGCAACACTTGAGTTGAGTCTTGATGGAAACGCAGGAGGTTAGCCAACTAAGTGGCGTGGAGACAGGATAGTCAGGGGAAAGTGACCTGGAGAGTTCTGATGGCACACCCTGCGCCCTCTCAGTGCTTCTCTGAGTAGGCAGAGAAGGGGATTAGGGTTTCTTCAGGAAACATTCCTCGCCAAAGCTCATAGGAACAAATGCTACTTCCTCAGGGGTGAGCTCCGCACTGCTTTACCTGCCCTCTAGGACAGTATGTCTCTGCCAGAGAATTTAAACAAACAAGCAGACACTAGAGGTAGGTCTAGCTCGCACATTGAGCACCACTGTTG